AACCCGGCCCACCGCTCTCGGGGCGAAGGGGCGCCGGGCAGCACCCGGAAACCTCCCCGGAGCGTCAAGCCGGTCGCCCAGCGCGAAGTCACCCCCAAGAGAAGGCCGCTATGACCCCCGACCCCGAAGGCCCCGAGTCGGCCGCGCGCCGCCGGCCGGGCGGAGGGGACGCCGGGCCCGGGCCCCGGGGACCAGGGCAGCCTCACCTGCAGGTGAACTTGAGGGCCAGGAGCACCGCGCAGCCGAGGGCTACGGCCCCGCAGAGCAGCTCGGGCCGCCGGCGCGCCATGAGGGAGGCGCCGCGCAACCCGCGGCGGAGCCGGCCCGCCGAGGACGCCCCAGCCGGGGCCGGGCTGAGGGAGCCAGAGCCCGCGGGGCCGCCGCCGCCGCCACCCTCGTCCTCGGCGTCGTCGCTGCTGCTGCTGCCGCCGCCGCGGCCTCCGCATTCCGACATTACATGCTCCCCGTCGCCGGCTTTATACCGCCGCCGCCGCCGCCTCGGGCCCGAGGGCCCGGCCCGGCCCGTCGCTCCCCAATCCCGCAGCTGGCAGCGCCCGCTAACCCGGACCCTCCACGTCAGCCGTGCCGCCGCCCGGGCGCCGCCCCCTCGCACGCGGCTCCGCCCCCTGCTCCAAGGACTCCGCGCGGCTTCGGGCTCGTACGGCGGCCACGCCCCTGCACGCATAGCCCGCGCAGACGCCTACAGCGCCAGTGGCCGGGCCTCCGTCCCAGAGGTCCCGCCCCCCATCCTCCGAGTCTGCGCAGAAACCTTCATCGCCGGGGCTCCGCCCCCTACTTTTGGAGTCTGCGCATGCGCAGTGGCAGAGCGCCGCGGTACTGCTACGGAGGCTCACGCTTGGGGCACACGGAAGGTTATGGGTCCTCCTGGAGAACCCGCCAGCCCTCTGGGTTTTATGGCCGTGACGATAACAGCCAAGCGTCCTCACGCTCACTACAGGCCCCAGAGGACGTAGGTGCTATTGATTACTCCCGCTCTGCGGGAGGGAATAAAACACCTGCCATTCCCTGTGTGTCCGTGTGTAGATGGGGTGCCAGCAGGGTCGGTCGGGGATTGCAGCGCCTGGTCTCGGTCCCTGTGGCCTCGCAGCGGCAGCGACTGCAGGTCGGCGCTGTGCACCCCGACACGCAGCCCTGTGAGGAGGCGTGGAAGAGCCGCGCAGCCCAGCCCACAGGGTCGCTTCCCGCTCTTTAGCAAATACAGGAGCTTAGCCAAGCGCTGGAGGCCCGGAACCAATGACGAGCAGGTAGATTTTTTAAGATTTTATTTATTTGAGAGGTGGGGTTACAGACAGCGGGAGAGACGAGAGAGGTCTTCCATCAGCTGGTTCACTCCCCAGATGGCCGCTAGAGCCAGAGCTGGGCCCCTCCGAAGCCAGGAGCTAACCCCCGAGACTCCCACGCGGGTGCAGGGGCCCGGGCAATTGTCGGCCATCTGCCCCTGCCCTCCCAGGCCATAAGCAGAGAGCTGGATCGGAAGAGGAACAGCCGGGACCCGAACTGCCGGCCGTACGGGATGCGAGCGCCGCAGGCGGAGGCCCAGCCCGTCACCCCAGAGCGCGGATGCCAGCAGGCAGAGTCCTCTCCGGGTGCGGTGATTGAAAAGGCGGCGCGGTCGGCGGTGGACAGGGAGGAGGGGGGGGGGGCCTCGGATCCACAGGTGGCCTCTGATGCGATCAGGAGTGTCTGCTGGGGTTCCCCACCCAGTCCTTTAGCGGTCACGCCCAGGCAATAGAACCGGAAAGGGCAGGTCGAGCGTCCAGAGAGCTGCACACGTGGAGGTTCCCGACTGGGAGGGGTCCAGAGGCTCGGCCTGTGCATGGTTTCCTCTGCTCTCTGCAGCATGCCCTATAACAAGCCAATAAAACAACGCCTCGTGGCAAATCAAACGCAAGGAAGAGGCTGTGAGGATCCTGATTCCTAGCTGGTCAGCCAAAAGCGCCAAGCACTTCCACCTTCAGAAGTGGAGAGGGCTGGCCCCGGCTCTAACCCTGACTGCAGGTGGACAGTGTTGAGGGCTGGCCCCGGCTCTAACCCTGACTGCAGGTGGACAGTGTTGAGGGCTGGCCCCGGCTCTAACCCTGACTGCAGGTGCACAGTGTTGAGGGCTGGCCTGGGCTCTAACCCTGACTGCAGGTGGACAGTGTTGAGGGCTGGCCCGGGCTCTAACCCTGACTGCAGGTGCACAGTGTTGAGGGCTAGCCCGGGCTCTAACCCTGACTGCAGGTGCACAGTGTTGGTGTTGAGCTGAATTAGACAACACCCCTCTGGTGTGCACTGCTGTGGAACTGCTTGTCTGGTGGGCTCAGAAGTGATCCAAGTTGTAGGAGAAACTAACAGGTGTCAGGCAAGTAAGACTTTGAGGGAACTAAGGTTAAGCCACCACCAGGGATGTCAGTTCAAGCCCTGGCTGCTCCACTCCCATCCAGCTCCCTGCTGATCTGCTTGGAAAGCAGCGGGAGACGGCCTCTGCACCCATGTGGAATATCCAGTGAAGTTCCAGGCTCCTGGTTTCAGCCTGGACCAGCCCTGGGCATTGCAGTCGTTTGGGCTGTGGACCAGCAGATGGAAGCTTGGTGTCTCTCTTTCATCTCCCTCTCTGTCACCCTTTCAAAATAAATCATTTTTTAATGGGGCAGGCATTGTGCACATCATTCATGATAAGCCACCACTTGGGATATCCACAGCCCACATCAGAGTGGATTCCAGTCCCACCCCACCTTCCAATCTAGCTCTCTACTAATGTGTGCTATAGGATGCAGGAGACATGGCTCGTGGGAAACTCAGTCATAATTCCTAGCTCCAGCCTCTTCCTGGCCCAGGCCCAACTGTTATAGACATTTGGCATTTGGGGGGGGGGGGGGTTACCAGCAGATGGAAAATATCTGTCACTGTGCTTTTCCAATCAATAAACAACTTTAAAAGCATGGCCCAGAGAAGTTAGACTCCCTCCTCTGCCATGGGTCAAGTATGTGACCCTAAAGCAAATCCCTTCACTCCTTGTCCAGCTCTTGGTTTGCATGGAGGTAAAATGGTGCTATCAGTGGCCATCTTTCTAGGTGTGCCAGATGTCCGGTATGTCAACCCCACGGGCCCAACGTGTTGGTAGCTCCCTCTTAGCTGTCAGTTTGCTGTTTTTCTGGCTCCCATCTTCTGGGTTCCTTCTTCATTCTTTGTGTTAGTAGATAGTTTTTTAGTATAGTATTAATTCCTTTTTTTTTTTTTTTAAGATTTATTTATTTGAAAGACAAAGGGCCGGCGAGCGGCTCACTAGGCTAATCCTCCACCTACGGCGCCGGCACCCCAGGTTCTAGTCCCGGTCGGGGCGCCGGATTCTGTCCTGGTTGCCCCTCTTCCAGGCCAGCTCTCTGCTGTGGCCAGGGAGTGCAGTGGAGGATGGCCCAAGTACTTGGGCCCTGCACCCCATGGGAGATCAGGAGAAGCACCTGGCTCCTGCCATCGGATCAGCACGGTGCGCCGGCTGCAGTGCACCAGCCACAGCGGCCATTGGAGGGTGAACCAAAGGCAAAGGAAGACCTTTCTCTCTGTCTCTCTCTCTGTCCACTCTGCCTGTCAAAAAAAAAAAAAAAAAAAAAAAAAAAAAAGAAAGAAAGACAAAGTTACAGAGAGAGAAGGAGAGGCAGGCAGAGACAGAGAGAGGTCTTCCATCTGCTGGTTCACTCCCTAATTGGCTGCAATGGCTGGCGCTTCCTCCTCATCTCCCATGCAGGTGCAGAGGCCCAAGGACTTGGGCCACCTTCTACTGCTTTCCTGGGCCATAGCAGGGAGCTGGATCAAAAGTACAGCAGCCAGGGCTCGAACCAGCACCCATACGGATGCCAGCGCTGCAGGCGGCGGCTTTCCCCACTATGCCACAGCGCCAGCCCCTATTAATTCCTTATTATTTGGGTCATCACCACAGCCTTCTAGGGTGTGTTCGACATCAATTTTCCCTGGAAAAAGAGGGGGAAAGGAGTTGGTGGGAAAGTATAGAGAAGAGAAAATCTAAGGAAGGTGCTCAGAATAGGAGTCTGAGCACAGTCAGAATTCTATGCTGTTCTGTAGCAAACGCCCAGCCAATACAGGTCAGGTATCTGGCACGCTAAGATGCTCCTGATGCCCGTCTCCAGCCTCTGGGTCTGCGGACCTGCGTGGGCTCCTCTGGCGTCTCACTTCCTGCAGCCATGCTCCCCTCCCTCCCCCGCTCACAGCACAGAACCGAGACCCTCTCCTGTGCTGTCCCACAGTCACACTCCTTCCAGGACATCACGAGGAAGGGCCTGCCCCTGCGAGACTGACGGGCTGCAGCCTCTCAGCCCCCTGGTTCTTGTCCTTAGTCCCTCCCTCAGATGGCCCGCCCCACCCCAACAAGGAGCAGGCACTAGCAGTGGGCTGATGAGGTAGCGCCGGCACCACCTGCCACTCTTCCTGGCTTGCTGGTGCCACCCTCGGAAGGCTGAGGGGCACAGAGACAGCTGTGCCACTTCTTAGGCTCTGCCGGCCCATCCTTGAGCACTTGGTTGGAGGTTCTAGCCAGGGAGTGCGGCTACTGTTGACTGAACACCAGAACTCCTCTAACGGGGAAGGCCATCCTCTTTCACCAAAGGGACACACATGGAGCAGGGAGGGAGGGAGGGGACACCCGCCCAGCCAGCCAGATCAGCCGAATCAGCCCTGGCGATCCGTGGGGTGACGGATGTCGCAGCCAGATCGTCCTCACGTCCGTGCCAGCCCATCCTGACCACACCTGCAGAGAGCCGTCTCTCTGGGACCCACGGCCTCCGTTCTCCCCTGTCAGCCGTCTCTCAGTGACACCGGAAGTACGACCCTGCCAAGCACAGGAGAGGCTCTGAAGCTGCTTTCCCGTCCTGCCGATTTGCATTCCATCACGCATCACGTACCTGTTCCTAGAACCCGACTTGCGATTTTAGAACCCACAGTTTGAACAATTCTGTGGGAAAATGATATCAAAAAGTCAGAGATTTATATATAAAATCTTTATTACAGGCAGTATTGGTCCATACACTACACAATACCAACAGTACAAGTTTAATCATTGAAATCATTTAAACAGCAAAAGACCAAGAAATAAAATTTGAGTCAACTGATTTTTTTCAAAATATTCTCAATGCACATTATCCTCAGTTCCCTTATTATAGTGAAACATACAAATACAGAAAAATACCCCATTTAACAGGTACTGGTGTTAAATGGTTATTTGGCTTAAAATCTGAGTTAAGAAAATCCTTTTTTAAGCAACCTACGTACAGATAAGTAGCAAACATTATTAAATACGTTCGTTCTGCTAAGTGAAGAAATTTCATCCCGCATGTACTCTGATCCCGGTCCAAGTGTGTATTCTCTTAGCATCACGGTTCTGCACTGAAGGACCAACGCAGAGAGTCGCCCCAGACATACCCTCACCTCCTCTCCAACTCCTCCTCCCACACTCCATTCAACAGACGGCAGCCGGGGAGCAGTCACCTCGCCATTTGATGCCAATGGTTCCGTGAGAGCTGGGCCAGACCCGTTAAACAGCCCGTTTTCCTACCTACTGTGGGTTGCTGCTCAGGATATGTGCCAATTCAAGCAGAAAGTCTGAGCCCCTCTGCTACGTGCCTTACAACACTTGCAATTTCTCTGGTCAATGCTCTGATTAGGTTACATACATAGAAGCCAGCATATTAGTTTAAATCTTTAAACAAAAAACTATATTTTCCAAAGTCATTATCATTTGGGGCAATTAAGTGATCTTTTCGTGCTTTGCTGAGCTTCATCTTTAGGACATTTCTTCTTTCTTCCCATTCATGAAGTTCAGCGTTTCCATGTGCAAATTTACAGCTGTTTCCTTCTGTGCAGCTACCATTCATATACCTGTCAGGACAGGGCAGCTGGTGAGCGTCCATCAGTTGTTTCTAAAACTCCGGACATGGTTCTTTTATTTATCTAAGATTTATGTATTTACTTATTTGTCTGTATCTATTTGAAAGGCAGAACAACAGAGAGAAAGAACTCTCCCACATGCTGATTCATTCCCCCAACTCCTACAACAGCCAGGTCTGGGCAGGCCAAAGTCAGGAGCCAGGAACTCCGTCCTGGTCTCCCACAGGGATAGCAGGGGCCCAAGTTCTTGGGCAGCATCTTCCGCCTTCTGAGGTGCAGGAGCAGGAAGGTTCACGGAAGCAGAGCAGCTGGGACTCGAACCAGGAAATGGGAAGCCAGCTGGCAAGAGGCAGCTGGAGCTGCTGTCCTACAAAGCGGACTCTCCTGGCACGATCCCGGGAAGGTCCTACTTCACTAGCTCTAGGACTTGCGTATCCCACATGCAAAGCCTTGGAAAATATTTTACACCCATGACATCCGCAACAGAAAAAATCGTACTTTTAAACTATTTAAATGTATTAATGAAAGGTGCTGACTGAGAGCAGGTGTGTGGCCTGGCAGTTAACCTGCCACATCAGGAGTGCCTGGGTTCAAGTCCCAGCTCTGCTCCTGAGTCCATCTTCCTGCCAACACACACACCCTGTGAGGCAGCAGGTGATGGCCCAAGCAGCTGGGCTCCTACCACCCAAGGGAGACGTGGCTTTGGCCTGGCCCAGCCACAGCAGGTACTTGGGGAGGGCAGCCTCACTTGTACTTCTCCATCTCCTGACATAATGTCTGCAGAAGCCCTAAAAGAGCAGCAATTTTCATGTGGATAAAGTGGCAAAACCTACGTACCTCTCACAAATACTAAAATATCCCGTTGGAAAACGGTGCTGCCAGCAGTACTGGTCGTCCTCGGTGTGGAACACCTTCTCCTTGTGCTTCTCCGAGGAGATGTGGCCTTGCCACTGCTTCTCACTGTTGCAGTTCTTCCCACACATCCAGCAGTGGAAGTCCACCTGGGAGCAGAGACACGGAGCCTGTCCCCATCAGGGCATCCACTGTGAAGCCCAAACCCCCTTCCCATGGAGCCCAGTCCCGTGGGGGAGGTGAGCAAGGAGCGGAGCCCGGCCAGCAGTCAGGAAGCAGAGGGACAAGCCCTGTCGGGCGTCCAGGATGTCTGCAGCAGGGAGGCCCCAGGAGCTGGTGTGCAAACACGGATGTGTGCTGGGAGGACAAGGGGCGAACTCAAACAGGGATTGTGGGCAGAATTCACACCCTAAGGAAAGGCAGAGAGAGCTGGAACGGCCAGCCAGGCATGCCAACCCCAGGGGGCCTAGGGGCCAGTCCACTCGATGCCTGTGAACGAGCCCCTGAGTGTGGGCCAGGCTGTGCTGGGGACCAGGAAGCAAAGATGCCGCCCCGTGAAGGACAGGCCCACACAAAGGAGCTGTGCCGTGGTGGGATTCAATGCTACAGCAGAGGCTAGCTCCTAAGTGTGGGAGCAGTACTTTCCCAACGTCCTGGGTGAGAAGTGCATCTTCCATGCAACACGGAATAAAACCAGACTCCCACTAAGTCAGGGGTCTTAGTGAAGAATCTATCTTGTCTAGCACCCCAGGTAACCTCCCGATCCAGCAAGTCCTGCTCTGGGAACACGCAGGAGCACTTAAGTACAGGCCACAGAGGAGCTGGCTGGCGCCAAGCCCTGGCAGAGGTGGGTACTCACACATGTGCCCGGCCGAGGGCACCGGACCCAGTCCTGACAGAACCAAAATGGAGACAGGCCAAAAACACTACAGAGAAACAAGCAGCTTAGGGAAACGTTTACAAAACACACCGGCAGACAAGAGACTGTTTAGGAAGAAATGTGACGTCAATATGCGAACACAGCCGAATACACACCAGGTCTGGGGCCTCTGGGCAGGGGAAGAAACAGAGCCACACTCTGCCTGAAACGTCCTATCCACCTTACAGAAGCAAACACGACAAACGATTAACATCAGTTCAGTGGCGATGGGGGGCTCAAGACAGTCACTGTATCATCCTCTTTGACTTCCTGAAATGTTTAAAAACAAAAGCAGAGGAGTGACAGACACCAGTGACTCCACGTCTGCACACATGCTTGGAGGAGCGTGCGGGGGCGTGAACGGCCCCGTCTCCTGAGCGCCTGCAGCGACAGCACAGCAGTGACAAACCCTCCGGACTTTGCCATCATGATCTGCCCAGGGTCCCAGGCTCGGAGGACAGGAACCAGGACTTGGCACCCACACATCTCTGGCTCCAAAGTTAGAGAAAGGAAGTGTTTTGGCGTGAAGACACTTTAGCTAACAGCAGAAAACCACAGAGGAGAGGGATACAGATCCCCAACACAGCTCGCCACGCTGGGCAGGAGGGAGGAAGGGGCTCAGAGACAAGCTGCCGTGCAGGCCCCGGGGTACTCACGGTGACTTCCGCATAGTCTGTGGGCATGTGAATTTGTTTTCCATTTTCCTTGTTGGACTGACTGGCTACATCATCACTTTTTTCATTTTTCTGACTCTTCAGCCACAGTTCATAAAACTGCTCCATATCTTGTACTAAAGAAAAATGAATTGCTTTTAGCAGCAACAGTAAGTGCGATTTAAATACACACGTCATGCACATATTTTGTATTAGCAAATGTTTCTAAAAGAAGAGGGGCCAGCGCTGTGGCACAGCAGGGTAAAGCCGCAGCCTGCAGCACCACCATCCCATATGGTTTGAGTCCTAGCTGCTACACTTGAAATCCAGCTCCCTGCTAATGTGCCTGGGAAAGCAGCAGAAGATGGCCTAAGTATTTGGGTGCCTGCACAAACGTGGCAGACCTGGGAGAAGCTCCCAGATTCAACCTGGCCCAGCCCCAGCTGTTGCAATCATTTGGGGAGTGAACCAGTAGATGGAAAACTTCTCTCTCTGTCTCTGTCTCTACTTCTCTGTGTAACTCTGCCTTTCAAATAAATAAATTTTTTAAAATGAACAAAGAAAATCCAGAGTGCTGAAGAAGCACCATTATAGTGGACAGGGAGAGGTAGTCTATTGCAGTAGGTCAATTTCAGATTGTCAAAACCACAGATATCAGTTTCCTAGATTAATTAATTCCTCCCTCAATTTGCAAGGGCTATTTCAAATTCAGAAATCATCCTAAGGGATGTGCCCTGTGTCACACACTCCAACTGTGCCAGAACCACGTAAGGCTACAGACATGACATCCAGGGCCTAAAGCCCTGACACCCTGTCACAGTTCATTAAGAAAGATAACATGGGCCAATGCTGTGGCGTAGTAGGTTAAGCATCCACCTGTAGCACCAAAATGGGTGCCGGTTCAAGTCCTGGCCCTACTTCTGATCCAGCTCTCTGCTGATAGCCTGGGAAGGCTGCAGAAGATGGGCCAACAGCACCATGGCACAATAGGTTAATCCTCTGCCTGTGGCGCCAGCATCCCATATAGGTGTTAGTTCAAGTCCCAGCTGCTCTACTTCCAATCCAGCTCTCTGCTATGGCCTGGGAAAGGAGTAGAAGATGGCCCAAGTGCTTGGGCCTCTGTACCTGCATGGGAGACCCAGAAGTGCCTGGCTCATGGCTTCGGATAGGCACAGCTCCAGCCACTGTGGCCATTTGGGAGTGAACCAGCGGAAGGAAGACCTTTCTGTCTCTCCCTCTGTAATTTTTTTTTTTTTTTTTTTTTTGACAGGCAGAGTGGACAGTGAGAGAGAGAGACAGAGAGAAAGGTCTTCCTTTTGCCGTTGGTTCACCCTCCAATGGCCGCCGCGGCTGGCGCGCTGTGGCCGGCGCACCACGCTGATCTGAAGGCAGGAGCCAGGTGCTTCTCCTGGTCTCCCATGGGGTGCAGGGCCCAAGCACTTGGGCCATCCTCCACTGCACTCCCTGGCCACAGCAGAGAGCTGGCCTGGAAGAGGGGCAACCAGGACAGAATCCAGCGCCCCGACCGGGACTAGAACCCGGTGTGCTGGCGCCGCAAGGCGGAGGATTAGCCTATTGAGCCACGGCGCCGGCCTGTCTGTAACTTAACCTCTCAAATAAAAAAATAAAATCTTTAAAAAAAAAAAGAAGAAGAAGAAGAAGATGGGCCAAGTGCTTGGGCCCCTGCAGTGATGTAGGAGACCCAGAAGCTCCTGCTCCTGGCTTTGGCCTGGCCCAACCCCGGTCGTTGTGGCCATCAGGGGAGTGAATCAGCAAATGGAAGCTTTCTCTGGCTCCCTCTCTGTCTCTAACTATGCCTCTCAAGTAAATAAATAAATCTTTAAAAAAAGAAAGCTGAAAAGCATGCTAGTACTGGACCAAGCCTGGCCCCAGTGGCAGTTATCAATCAAGCCACAGTCTCAGAGGACCAACACAATACAGCCGTGACCAGGTGCTGGGAAAACAGGTCTGTCCGCGACTCCGCCACGTGTTACAGCTGGTGCCTCAAGCTCAGCCTCGCCACGCTGACCACCGGGGTCCGTGCCGAGCACTGCAGGGCACCCCGCAGCACCTCTGTGCTCCGCCCACCGGATGCCAGACACAGCACCCACGTCATGACCAGGAACGTCTCCAGGTACTGCCGAAGTCCCAGGGAGAAGGCAGAGCATGTCTGGTGAGAACCACTGTGCCGAAACCTCTGCAAAGGGGGCCCGATTCCTTCAGCTCTGCCGTCTGCACAGGCATTTCTCAGCCATCAGGCTAAGGTGAAAGACAAACGTTCCTCCTCAGACCCTCCAGAGCCCGGACACGCACGCGCAGCTGCAGGAAGCTTCAGGGCCGCAGGTCCCGCCAGGGGACACAGCCAGTGGGAGTCCCTTGTGCACAAGTCACTGCCGGCGCGTGGCTGCAGCCTGCAATCCCGTCGGTCCTCAGAATCTGGGGCCTGCAGCTGGTCTACTCCTGCCACTTCACTGCAGGAGAATACTGCCCCATGGAGTGACACGTTTTAGGGTCGTAAGTGAAAGGTTATCTGAAGCTCCTCTCAAAGGCATCTCATGAAGACTGAAATCTGACCAGAATAAACATTCTGTCCTGGGGCCTTTGCATTGGGCCTGTTTTCCCAGTGAAGGACTCACTCAACGGGCACCCCGCCCCAAGCCGCTGAGCTCGGGGGTACTGCTCACTGAAGACGATCTGACTTCAACAGTCCCAGAACGGAACGCATCTACTCCACTCCATCCAAAAGACGCAGACTTCCATTTTCCTGTGCAGACGGGACCTAGCTACACACACATGCATGTCAGATGCACTCCCCTGAGGCTGTGGCCGCACGTTCCGGTCACTGTCAGCAACAGAGCTACTGACGAAAACAGGGTGTGCCTGCTGAAAGTGCACTGTTTTCGGGGCTCACGGGCAGCTGCCATGTCTACAGAGGCAACTTCTAGACAAGCAGGTGCTCACAATGTCAGGAACACAGCAAAAGCCACAACTTACTGCCATTCTCCTTCATGTAGGTCCACACTTCTCGCTCCTCGGGGCTGTGCGCAAAGGAACAGTTCCCAACGTACTGACATTTTCTCCCAGAAGCAATATGGTTGCATAGCTAGATTAAAAAAAAAAAGAAAAAAGCCGACATATTTTAAGATAGAGCGTGCTTAGGAAAACTGCCTAATTTTTATACTTAACCAAAGTAAGCATTATCTTCCATACTAATGCTTGGTAGTAAGATGTTCAAATAAGACTAATTTGATTCTATTCAAACTACCTATAAGCCCAAAAGACAGGAAATCACACTGATGGTCAACTGTCTAACTCAAAATTTTTCCAAAGAAATTCAAGTACGGAACTTTTTAACAAGAAAATACTGACAAATGTGCTCATTCAGAACATTTACTATCCACAGTGACAAATCTCTGGCCCTCTTGGTTAGGCAGCCCCACTCCCCTTGCCTAAACACTCCTGATGCCGAGGCCGCCCATCAGCACCCAGGAAACAGCCAGGACACTGCTGTGTCCCCCCAAGGTTACCAGAGATTTTCAGAAACTTAGCATACCTCTACCCCGTACGAGTTGCTCGCCTCACCCCTAACCCCTAACTCACTAGGCAGGCACTGTCTGAAGACAGCTATTAAACTAGCCAGCCCAGGGAGTTAGCTAGCTTCCAAATACTATTGCTTCTGATGATCTGTGTTTTCATTTAAAAATACAAAGTAAATACAGTGACTGGTGGAGGACAAAGCAGCAGTGATCAGAACATGACCGTCCCTAAGGATCATGGGGGTCTAGACCAAGAAAAGCCTGTCACCCACAGAGTTCATTTTTAAAGATCAATCGACTTGGCCTTTTAGAGCGTAAATCCTAGGACAACAAATTATTAGCGCATCTTAACTTTATGTTTCAGCCAGGGCTGGCCCTCGACACTACTTGTCTTATGTAACATTACAGGCTTAACATCTAACACTCTAAGAGCAGGAAGCCCTAACGGGGCTTGGACAAAGGCCAGTGGCCCCACCCTGAAAATCTGTGTGAAGTCTGGGTCAACGAGCCAGTCTTGTGACTGCCTTGGTCACAGTCCTTTCTCAGTTGAGCCCCAGTGAGCCCTCAGTTGTTAGAGCTAGGGAAATATTTACCATGGTCTTTCCAAGCTCAGTGACTAGGAGCAGGGAGAAGGGAAGTTTAAGGAGAAGGCTGGGACCTGGGCTGGGTTTTTAGGCACCTGCGCACACAGCTGTCCTGGGGGGGATTATTCCCATCCACAGTAACCTGACGCCGAACAACCTGACCAGGGCCCTCCTGGCAGACTCGGAAGCCTGCTCCCTTTCCACCTCACCACACTGGATGCATGTGTGTACACACACACACTCCCCCTCACCACACTCTGTGTGTACACACACATACACTCCAGCACACTCTGCGTGTACACACACACACTCCCCCTCACCACACTGTGTACACACACACACTCCAGCACACTCTGCGTGTACACACACACACTCCACCTCACCACACTGTGTGTACATACTCTACCTCAACACACTGTGTGTACACACTCCCCCTCACCACACTCTGCATGTACATACACTCTACCTCACCACACTGTGTACACACACTCGCCCTCACCACACTGTGTGTACACACACACTCCCCCTCACCACACTGTGTGTACACACACACTCCACCTCACCACACTCTGCGTGTACATACTCTACCTCACCACACTCTGTGTAAACACACACACTCCACCTCACCACACTGTGTAAACACACACACACACTCCCCCTCACCACTCTGTGTGCACACAGTCCCCCTCACCACACGCTGCATGTACACACACACACACACTCCAGCACACTCTGCGTGCACACAGTCCCCCTCACCACACTCTGCGTGTACACACACACACACACTCCCCGTCACCACTCTGCGTGCACACAGTCCCCTCACCACACTCTGCGTGTACGCGCACACACTGTCACCTCTTCTTCTAGGAGAAGAGCCCCTAGCAGCACCTAGCACCGCAGCAGGGAAGGAGGAAGGGGACTACTGTAGTGCGGCAGGGCGGTGCGCCCCGTTCGCGATCGCAGGATAAGCAGCAGCCCTGGCCAGGCAGCTGCTTCAGGAGCCCTCGCACTCCGCCTGTCCCTGCTTCACAAGTCCTCTTCACACACATCATCTCCATTAGCACACCTCCAGCAAGCCTCTCCCCGCCCTTCAGCACCCACGGATCCACCTGCATCTCCAACCACCTGGGATAAACCACAGACACACCACCTCCTCCAAGACTGACCTCACTGTGTGAACACGGCAAAGCGCAGGGCAAGCTAGTGAGGAGAAATCCATCTGCCTCTCAATTCTTCCTAACGTCACGGAGGGAGGCTTCACTGTGCGGGGACTCTAGGGTCCCTCAGCCCTGACTTCTGGGGAAAAGTCTGTCTCCACATTTGCTCCATAAGGGCAGAAAGCTGACAGCCTATGGCTGCTCCTGGTGTGCCTGTCCCTGATGCCACACAAGCACCTCCAGACTCTATCCAGATCCTGTCTTGGGAAGAGGAGGGTCCAGAGGCAATGGGAGCACCAACACAAAATGGGCCACAAGAACACCAGCACAGCCTCAAGGCGGCTAGGTATCTTCATTCTAAATGATGTTAAGAAACACGCTTCTCGGGGCCGGCACCGTGGCACAGCAGGTTCAAGCCCCAGCCTGCAATGCCGCCATCCCATATGGACACGTTTGAGTTCTGGCTGCTCCTCTCCCAACCCAGCTCCCTGCCAATGTGCCTGGGAAAGCAGCGGAAGATGGCCCAATTCCTGGGGCCCTGCACCCACATGGAAGACCCAGAAGAGTATCTTGGCTCCTGGCTCCAGATTGGCTTAGCTCTGGCTGCTGCAGCCATTGCCGAGTGAACCAGTAGATGGAAGACCTCTCCCTCTGTCTCTACCTCTCTCTAACTCTGTCTTTCAAATAAATAAATAAATCGTTAAAAAAGAAACATGTTTCTCTAACACTGAACATTTTCTTTGGATTACTTCTAGAAAGCTCCATAAAGTTGAGGTATCTTCGCGCTAGTATCACTTGCTTCAACAAGACATGGTGAAAACGAACTCCTTCAGAGCCTTCATACTAACATATCAAACCTGAGGCATCAAAATCATACGTGATTCTCCCTCATGGCCTCCCCAAAGTAATTCATGTGAAAAATGTTAAGCTATGCCCACATTCCAGTCCCTGTTGACTTTTTCCAAATAACTGATAAAATTCCAATCAACATGAAAACTGCTATCGAATCTCTCTCTCTCTCTCTCTCTCACACACACACACACACACACGGAAGGAAAACAAAAGAGGAACTACTTAATGTCACTACACTGAGGAGCATTATGTCAAGGACTTGAGTTCCAAACTGAATTATTACTACTTGCTAATGATTTGAAAGCCTAATTTGAAAAAAGTGGCTTAAAAATTACGTATGTACATCAAACTGTACAGGCATTTGTTCTTTGTGGGGAGGAGGACGGATGTTCCTCCACTTCTTATGTTCAATAGGACATCACTCTCATCGCACGGCGATCTTTGGTCCACCTAAGAAAAATGGAGTTCAGAAAAAACAGACACACTGGAAAAAGGCATAATATCAAGGGGTACAAGGTTTGTGCTTGAAGGACCAGAGATTTTGTTTTCCCACAACCATTCTTAAGAAATGCCTTATGGTTCTACAATTCCACTTCCTCTGGGTGGCTGTAAACATTCCCTACAGACTGTAAGTAAAGAAATTGACTAAAATACAGGGAAAACATGGCTTCTGAATAATCAGATACTAACTCCTAAAAAAATCTCTTCCCTTTTGGAATTATGCCTGAATTAGCTACTTTCCTCAGCTGTCTTCAAGCCTTAATCTTTCTTCTTTACGTATGACGTACACCTATGAAACAGGCAACCACCACTAGCACTGTTTCCATACACACAATACTTACGAATGCCTTGCTTTTGCACTACAATATTTTCTGTTTTGTCTGTTCAATGACTTGACCATTTCTCAGACATTGAGCACACACAAATTTTATCTTCCATATGAGAGACCCAGGCATTGCTTGACTGCCAAGTACCTTAACAATTAAAAAATCAGTCTTAATGGTAATAGAAAACCAGTCTTCTAACAGCAAAATCACCATGCATTTTTTTCATAGCATACAATTTTCTGTTTGTCTGGTTCAATGATCTGATCATTTATTTATGTCTTAAGAGTTATCAATCTCCAGTTCTTCCCTTCAGAGGGAAGAATGATGAAGGACAGAATGATGAAAGCTGATTATAGGAGCCAGCTGCTGTGGCGTAGTAGGCTAAGCCTCCACCTGGGACTCCAGCTTCCCATATGGGTGCCAGTTTGTGTCCAGGCTGCTCCTCTTCCAACTCTCTGCTATGGCTTGGGAAAGTAGGGAAGATGGCCCAAGTCCATTGGGCCCCTGCACCCACAGTGGGAGACCCGGAAGAAGCTCCTGGCTTCAGATCGGCCCAGCTCCCAGACGTTGTGGCCATTTGGATGAGTGAACCAGTGTATGGAAGAACCTCCTTCTCGTCTGCTAACTCTGCCTCTCAAATAAATACATAATATTAAAAAAAAAAAAAAGAATTACTTATTGGGGAGGAGGGCATTATGGCACAGCAGGTTCACACCACTTCCCGTAAAGGAGTGGCTGCCTGCAATTACAGCTTCCTGTATGAACCCAGGAGGCAGGAATGATATAGCTGACTAGTGCTTGGATTCCTATCACCCACGTGGGAGAACCAGATAGGGTCTGGCTCTTCACTTTGGCCTGACCCAAGCTGGCTGTTGCAGACATTTGGGAAGCAGGCCAGCAGATGAAAGATCTGTCTCTGTGCCTTTCAAGTAGATGAAAATAACCATTTTTTAGAAATTACTTAATAGAATAAACATTAAGAAAATAACTGGGGCTGGTGTGGGCACAGGTGCCAGTATCGCATATGGGTGCGATAGTTCTGGCTACTCCTCTTCTGATCCAGCTCTTTGTTATGGCCTGAGAAAGCGGTGGAAGATGGCCCAGGCGGTTGGGCCCTGAACCTGAGTGGGAAACCTGGAAGAAGTCCTGGCTCCTGGCTTTGGAATGGTGCAGCTCCGGCCATCACAGCCATTTGGGGAGTGAACCAGCAGATGGAAGACCTTTCTCTCTGTCTCTCCCTCTCACTGTGTATAACTCTACCTCTCAAATAAATAAAAAAAATCTTTAAAAAAAAAAAAAAAAAAGCTACTGTGGGTGTTATCCTGTCAAAAAAAAAAAAATTAACTGAACCTTAAGTAAAATTGCATCACCAACAACCAACATCATTAGACAACTCCAGAAAGAAAGTTAATGCAGACAGTACACACAGAAATACCTGCGCTCCGGGAACATTTGCTTCCAAATTTCGCCATACCGCGTAGACTCTTGAGCGATGGCATCATGGAGATACCTGGCAAAGGTACAAGCCAGCCTCTTAACTGTGTGCCGTCACCACGTGTGCCCATCCTTGAGCCTGGGAAAACTCCCACCCAGGCAATGACTCTCACGCAGTCTAGCCCATCACCAAGGATGAACTAACATCCCATTCCTCTTTGCCAAAATGGAGTGTTCACAAACACAGAAATCTTTCTGCCTCACAAATACATACCACGTGGATGAACTGGAATCAGCAATTAATTGCATGAAGCCACATCAAAAAAGGCCACTCTAGAAATCAGCAGGTTTAAGCTCAGGACAAAATACACAGCACAGCACTTCAGGGCGATGGGGAAGCCTAAGCCTCACATGTCCGTTTCATCAAACTCCAACTCTGACTGGGGAAACACATCTTGGTCATGCACACACCTACCTGTCTCACTCTGCATTATCCACACTTTCAATTCCACAAGACTATGGGCATAAAACATTCATCTCCTTAAACAGCCGTAGCGAACCTCATGTCGACATAAATCAAGCTGACACTGACTATGAAAAGAACGTATTATTTCGAGTATTTTACTGTTGTTCTCGCAAAATGTGGACAAGGCACTAAAATGAAAACAAAGTGACATCTCAATATTGTTCTGCCATAGCTTATCTTTCTTAAGAAATAGTATTTTCTTTTAAAGATGTATCTATTTATTTAAAAGGCAGCAGAATTAATGAGACAGAGAAAGGAAGAAAGAGGAAGAAG